GAAAGTATACTCGATGTATCCTGTAGATGGTCCACAAGCGTGAGTGGAGGGCGTGAACGACGCTTTCGCATAAATACTCTCAAAGTCCCCAGGGGAAGGACGTAATTAGCGTTCTATAAACAATTCTACATACCGAAGTAAAATACATTTACGTTCTAATTCACTTCGTTCAAACGAACGTAAAATATTTATCTTCTATATTTCGAATATAAGTAAGACAACATACGATGTTGTAAATGGCAGGTTGCGCTTGCGGACCATAATTCTGAGTTTTCACAAAGTATATAAGTAGCACAAAGGAAGGAGCATAGACATACTCTTAACTTACGCTATGTAATATTACCGAACACGTGCTGAACAACTACAAACTAAGGAAAAACAAAATAACGGTTATCTTTACCTCGAAAAAGGTTTCTCTTGAATGGGCGTTCATCCGCGAATTTAGGTCTTTTATCTCTACTGGTTGAAGAAGAAGCTTCTTTGTCGCATTTGGACCTCTCTTCCGATTTCTTCGACTTCTGTTCAATTTCATCCTCGGCCAAGTATGTTTTCAGCAGGGTTAGGTTCTATTCTGGTGATTTTTTCACTGAATTTGGTGAACTCGTAGGCTTACTCTTCCTCCTTGTTACAACTCTCCTTATCCTAAGGTCATCCCCGTCGATGCTTTCCGATTCTGACATGATGAAAATATACTCGATGTATCCTGTAGATGGTCCACAAGCGTGAGTGGAGGGCGTGAACGACGCTTTCGCATAAATACTCTCAAAGTCCCCAGGGGGAGGACGTAATTAGCGTTCTATAAACAATTCTACATACCGAAGTAAAATACATTTCCGAAACAGCATGGCGTCATGTCAACTTTGAACTTCTCTTTCTAGTTTCTATTGTTTATTTCTGGTTTACAAAACACTACAGCTACACTTGTAGATCCTAACCAAAACCTCACTCAAGCTGGTGRTGATAATGTTCCTTATAACCAACCTGAGTATCAATCAGTAGTTGGAAGTTTGTTATAATTACCTGTCTTCTGTTTCACGCCCAGACATTGCCTTTGCAGTTAGCAATGTGGCTAGATACTCATCAAGTCCWACCAAAGAACACTGGGTTGCTGTGAAGAGAATTCTACGATATCTGAAAGGAACTATTAACTATGCTATACACTTTACTTGCAATGCAGAATCTGAGTGTGTTGGATTCTCTGACGCTGCTGATTGGGCAGGTGATGTAAACGATCGAAAGTCTACGTCCGGTTATTTATTTCAACTGTGTGGTGGAAGCATTAGCTGGAGGAGCAAGAAGCGCTGAAGCAGAATATATGGCACTGTCATCTACTGTACARGTAAGGAAGCTTTGTGGCTCAAACAATTGCTTGCAGATTTGAAAGCAGTTACTCAAAAACCCAYGAAAGTACATGAGGATAATCAAGCAGCTATAAACATGACGCAAAAGCACAATTATCATGGGAGAGCGACTTCAATGTTCAAAGGAAATAGTTGGGATTTGGGGGCGGAGCTTGATGCTAATCAGCCAATGATTGAACAAGTTTTCGAAAAGCTCCGCCCCTCAGATTGACAGAAAGAACAAAATCCAGACAAACTTCAAAACAAAGAGATCGCGATGTAACGATTTCCGCTGTAAATATCATTTTGTTAGAGATCATGTAAATAAAAAAAATCAGTTAGCATAGTCTATTGTTCTACAAATGACATGATATCAGACTTACTAAGGGACTAAGGGACAGTTTGCCAAGCTTCGAAAACTACCTGGAGTTATGGAAAAGCCATAAACAACTACCAAGAAAGAAACTATAAACATGTTTTCACAAACAATGAAAAGGAGTGTTGAAATTTATTAACATTGTTGGGGGCAAGGATCACTGGAGGAGTAGTACCTTTCTARTGGCCTTCGTGGCATACTAGACTGGTCTCCCCATATCCAGCACTACATGAAGTGAGTCGATAATACCAACTAATCGACTTATGGCCACAAGCGGCCACTAGCCTCTCTGTAGTGAAGACCGTCCGTGCGTGGTGAAGAACCACATCCTACCCGAGGTGCCCCTGTTGAAATCGCAGAACACGGCGGATCTAGGAGAGTAAACCCCCCCAAAAAAATATTTTCAAGCACCTATGACTACACCTCAAGATGATAATTCATACCGCATCGTCCGTCGCCCGGGTGAACAAGGGACGCGTCCCCCAGTGACCAGTCAGGCTGAGGTCGAAGAGTGTGCTACTGGCTGTGACAGTTTGTCGCTGTCCACCACAACATCTGGTACAAGAAGTCAAATCTCAAACCATCACATCCCTCCCTTACCTACAACTGTAGCAATGGTGGTACTTGTAACAACATCAGAATAGCAACAATAAATGTGAGGACATTGCAAGATGACATTAATTTGGTAACGGTTGTACAATCGGCGAAAAAGTTAGGCATCGATATTTTGGCGATGMAGGAGGTCAGACGCACATCTACAGGAATGCTCACATTTGACGACGATTCTTTGAAAGATTGGCAGTTAGTATGGAGCGACTACAAGCGCAAACATGAACATGGTGTCGCAATATTGTTAGCCCCCTATGTCAAACTCGAAACATATCAAGAACACGTGCAGGCTAGAATAATATCCGCCAGAGTACGAGTGAAAAGCATGAGATTAGCAATCCTTTGTGTGTACGCCCCCACTGACATGACAAAATCAGATGCAGCAAAATCTGTATTCTATTCTGCGCTAGACAAGGCAAAACAGGAACTGGAAAAAATTCCTAAATATAAGTTAATAACACTCGGAGACTTTAACGCAACCATTTCTGCCCAAWGCAAGGATAGTGGATCCTGGGATGCAATACTTGGAAATAATAACGCTGATCGCGCGGAAACAAATAATATTGGTGAACGGATGGTTTCCTGGTGCCTCAAGAACCGTATGAAAATCATCAACACATTTTTTCGATCTAAACGTATTCATCGGGGAACATGGTATCATGCTGCCTCTGGAAAATGGAAACGTGTTGACWATATCTGCACTAGCACATGGGTAGCAAAATTTGCGAGTTCATGCCGCGTTTTCACTGGACCATCAAGATTATTTGACACAGACCATCGTCTACTTGTGATGAATATAAAATTCCCGACGACTAAGAGAGAACTAAAACATCAACTGAGAAGAGATTTAGGATCGTCACGAAAGTCACTTCCCATCACAGTGGATTTCCAGGCACTGCGAGACAATGCAGACATCCAACAGAATCTAACAGTAGAATTAGATATTGCACTAGAAAATGTAGAATCAAACGAGGTGAACGAGCTGAATAATAAAATAACTATGGCAGTACGAGACTGTGTTGAACAGGTGTGCCCTAAATCTGATCCCAAAAAGAAAAAAGAACCATGGCTAGATGCAAACTTACAACAACTAATGAAAGAGCTTCACAGTTGTACGCGACGTGAAGACATAAGGAAATTACAGAAAACAATCAAGAAAAGAAGGAAACACTTARAGAATCAATACTATAAAGAACTAGCAGACAACATCAATACGGCTGCAGAGGCTAGACAAGTTGAAAAAGAATTCTCACTAGCAAAAAAATATGCGACATTCAAAACATGCTCACGTTTAGTCCAACGTCACTTTGCAATTCAGACACCATTGCCGTTACCATCTGAACTTGCTGAACCCGAGAAACATCATTACCTTGATGATACAAAAGTTGAAGTGAACGAGGAAGTGCCCGACGCGAGTGAACTGAAAGCTGTTTTGAAATCTTTTAAGAACAATAAGAGCGCAGGGACAGATAGGATGAAAACAGAAGGTCTGAAATATAATGCCAGTGGAAATCTTATTAAAGCATTATTACTATTTATTGTCACTGATATGGTCAACCATCACGGTACCATCGGCCTGGCTGCACGCAAGTATTACATGTCTATATAAGAAAGGCCTAAGGTGCCTTGCCAACAATTACCGAGGGATATCCATAGGCGCAAATATGAGCCGAATACTAGCTAAAGTGATTATGCTAAGATTTCAAGARGCATACGAAACCCATATAAGTGAAGCCCAGTTTGGTTTCAGGCAAAATCGCTCAACAGTAGACGCATTGTTTATTGTCAAAAATGTCATCGATAAATGTGGAGGCCGCCTTATTGTAGTATATATAGATCTAACTGCTGCATATGATCATATTCCAAGGGACTTCCTTTTTAGGATATTGACGTTGAGAACCGGAGCAACCCACCTGGTTGCAATCTTAAAGAAAATGTACGAAGGAACAACTGCTACAATCCTTGGAATGAAGACCAAATTTGACGCATTGGTGGGATGTAGACAAGGGGGGCAGGAATCACCTGTCTATTTAATTATTACTTCGACTACGTACTCAAGATAGCTGCACATGAAATAGATAAAGCCTTTCCCGAGRGTTGGGGCATATCTTTTGAGTTTAACATTTATGTACCAACAGAGAGCAACGACGAAATGGTAAAATGTGTGGTATAGAAGTAATGAAATGGATCTTGTATGCCGACGATGTGGCATTGTTCTGCAAAAGTATAAGTATGGCGGAACAACTATAGAACATCATCAACGACACATGCAAACGGTTTGGCCTAACAATATCATTTGCCAAAACTAAGACACAAGTATTCAACGATGATGAATTGGCAAAGATGTCCATCTTATTCAGCATTGGAAATGAAGCTATCGAGAATGTGGAGGAATTTGTGTATCTGGGATAGACAATTTCAACAAAGACGGATGCTTCACTGGTCACCGTATTGCGAGTGCATGGGCTAAGTTCAATGAACTAAGAAAGGTGTTGTGTGATACCAAGATAAATACCAAAACACGTCGGAAGTTACTAGAAGCATGCGTAAGATCAAGATTGACTTATGGAACGCAAGCATGGTATCCTAACACAGCTTAGATGAAACGTTTAGAAATGTGCTGGAATGAAATGTTGAGAACCATGGTAAAAGGAGGATGGTCTAGAAAAAACATCCCCAGTGGCTCCGTTGAAGTCGAATATGCCTTTGTCTATACAAATGTTGAAATAGTGAGCATAATGAAGACAACTCCAGTAAGAGATTACATCAACGCCCAATATATGAAATATATTGCACATGTCTGTAGATCACCTAACACTGCTATTACAAAAAGAATGCTTTTTGCAAAACCCACCAGGCGATATTACAGAGACCCGTGGAATCATATTGCCAATTTACTACAAGTCACAGTTCAGCAGGCTAAACGTGTAACGCAGGATAGAAATGACTTCGCCCAGGTGATTGCTAAGATCAACCCGACTCTCTGACGGCATCGCCGTCTAAAAGAGAAATTAACTGTACTGTACTGTTAAATAGTTTTGGTTTTTGGGTGCCTCGTTTTCAGGCTCKCCTCCTAGTGTTCTCATCCATCTTCTTGTGTGTAATTCTTGCTGGTCCTTTTGTAATAAAAGAGTTTCAAACACAAGATTCTCAACACTTCACGCACTAGGTATAAAGATACTATACCCACCAGAACAATATTTTAAAATAGAGTGGATTGATTTATTATTTGCATAATCATATTAACAATCAATATTTTTTTCCAGATTGATGAGGTGTATATCAACTCACCATATGCATCGACAAAGCTGAAGAGGAAAAGTTTAATATTTAATGTAGTGCCATGAAAGTTTTTATGTTAGCAAAAATAAATAAGTCTTAACAAAACATGTGTAGTCTGACCAATGTGTCTTGCATACTATCCTTATCCAACATGCATATCTTTTGGGAGCTCCGCTATTAGGTTTTACCTAAATTTTATCTTATACATGTATTCATATAATGTCCCTTTTCAATATCCCTCCAAGAATTAGAAGCTGAGACAAGCGTGACATGACAATATAATTGTATCTAATAATTAAAATATCTGAAATGTTTTTTTGCAGCCATAGAAGTCAAATCGGTGCAAACAATAAATATACAACTCATTAAAACTGACTAGTCGTGTGTAAATAAGTTTTATTATCAATAATCAAATTACTTGCCGTGAGCATGTGCACAGTAAGTACCCCAGCTATCATTGATGATTCCTCAGAGTCATTGTATGGGGAAACCCAGAATAAATCTTGAACGTTTCGATGTCAAAAAAAATCCCCAAGAATCCACAAGTTGAAAAACATGATTTTTTTTTTGAAGACTCGAAAATGCAATTTTGTTAATGATGGAAATAATACTCATTAAGTGCTTCATCACAATACATATCCATTAGTCTAATGCTGACTATTCATGACTGAGGATTGCTGATGCAGCTAACTTTTCACGGAAGTTATTATAATTTGTTTTTATAATTCGTCATTCTTGGATGCAACAGCAAGAGACCCAAGCACTCCTTGTACGAAAAGCAAATTCTAGTGGTCTTGCGACTGTTTTTGTTGTTGACAGTAATTTGAGTTAAGCATCCCTGCAGTTCACTTCTTTAACATGAAAAGAAACTTCTCTTTACACATCGAAGACAAGGACATTCATGACATATTGAATGATAAAGAGAGATATAGCAAAAAAATTATATATCTATAACCGGAGAGAAACACCAAAGCTTTCTAACTCTTATTTTGCAGAGAAGCCACTGGATCATCATATGAAAAATGCCAAATCGGTTATTTGATGTTCCACTCATAATTATACAATCAGGTCAATTTTTCTTTGGAGCCGAAGTCTCGGAAGAGTGAATATCATGATAAAAAAAGTCGAAGAATGACTTATGATATTGTTTTAAGTATATATATATACAAATTCTCAAATTTCTATCAAAATAAAACGGAACAATTTTCTGAAAAAATCGAGTTTTTGTGAAAACACCGCATATGTTAATTAGGATGCAAATCAATAATCACTTGCATAAAATGTAATCCGAATATACCAGAGTATAGGTAAATAATTGCTTTAGAGGTTGGTCATCTTTCAAACATCAAATAATCGATTTGGTATTTCAATATGATAATCCACCTTATTACTAGGAGATGAATGCACGAATGTTTTAAAAAGAACATGTGCCAGTTGCACTCTTGGTGATCATTGAGTTGTTGGTGCTCTAACTGGACCTTCCTTTAAACCACTCAGAATTCCCATMAGCTGTGAGATATCTTGAGCAACCTAAAAAACCCAAACCAAACAATCAACAAGTTCTTCTAAARCAAAACAATCTTTTTAAAATTGAATTTCCCGCCAGTTCGGAAAAATGTGCTCTCTTTGAAATCACTACGAATGTGATGTCTACTAAGGAATTCATTCCTGTTATAAACTCCTTTGAATTATAAGCCAACTTTCAACAATTCGTAGTTGATACATCAAGCGATGTGAGAACTTTGGCTCCTTAAGCGTGGATTTCACTAGCGCATAAGCATAGGCATAAGCACGAACCACGAGAGTCATATAGTGTGCGCCAGTGAGAACGGGCTCAAAATAAGCATAAGCATGAGCACAAGAAAAACGAGCAAGGCTTGATCTTCTTGTGCTTATCTCATGCTTATCTCATGCTTATGCTCAGTGAGAACGGGACTGTATAGGCATAAGCATAGCCTGGTATCGAAATAATACGCTCGTGCGCATGTTCAATGTCTTATGCTTATGTCGAGCCCGTTCTCACTGGCGCATATGATTCTCATGCTTGTGCTTATGCTATGCTTATGCGCTTGTGAAATCCACGCTTTAGTAGACGTCATATTGGGGACACAATATGACAGTTCGAGGTCATTTCGGTATTATTGAAAATTTCTTTGACGTTTCACAAAAACGAGTTAATTAAGTTTATAAAATAACTCTTTTTTCTAAAATATGGCTTTAAAAACTTTAGAATTCGAGTATAATTTTTGTGATCAAAACTAGGTTTCTCCTTACCTCAAACATTTCAATGGCTTTTTCAACCAGCCAATTACAGTTCACGTTTTAACGAAAGACGAAGTTGGCAGGTTTGACAAAATGTGAAAAAAATGGCGAACGACGGCGGGCGACTTTCTTTCTTTCTTTGTACATCAAAATTGCTTTTTTTAGTGACCTTAGATGAATCATAAACTACGTGTTCTTTGAGGAGAAAGGGTGCATGTCTGTCAAAAGGTCAACTGGACGCAAAAAAATTAGAAAAAGGTAGGTAAAACTAGCAACGGAATGTGTACTGCTTTCGCCGAATGAAAACATTTAAGTTAAGTACATCTTCGTCAATTCACTTATTTGAAGTAAAGCTTTATGTTACGTTTCCTTTCAGAATTGGTATGGAAATGATATCAAGATGAGATTTTTGAAAAACTGCAGGAAGACACTTGCTGAAAGACTTTGTTTTGACACTTTAAATGATGTTTGATTATCCGCTTCGACATGCCGGCACTTCAGCATCACCGACGAAAAAATTCACAAAATCACAAATAACACATGAAAGCATTGGTCGTATGAACTCCGTTTCATGGATAAGAAGGTGGAATTCATGTTCATAGAGATTTTTTATTAAACTGGTATCTGGTAACAATATCAAACTGAAGATAATTTTATGCGAGCGATGCAAGAACTAACTGCAATTGCACAAGCCGTACGAAAAAATTCCCAAAGCTACAAATAAAGACCTTGGTCGGATTAATTACGTTTAATAAATAAGCTGGTATTCATGTTTTTAGGTTAAACTAGTAGCTTGTTTATCGTGTACTAGTAGGTAACGAATTTATAAAGAGAYTCATTATGAACAATCGTTGAACTGAAAGAAATCTCGATTCTCAAGCGCAAATCGCAATTCTTGTACTACGTTTCTTATGTAGTATCTAAATAAAATGCAAAATACTCACTCAATTCCTCAATTTTTAGCTTCATAGAAAAATGTAACTTACTTTTCACGCGTTATTCACAATAATAAAGATGCAGTTAAGCTTATTACGTTTTGATTTTTTACTTCCAGTTTCAAGTTGCTTTGTTTATTTATAGTTTATACCGAAGATTCTATGCACTCAAAACCTACAAGAAATAGTAAAACTTTATGCAGAATACTCATAACTAGTTGTTGCCAAGTTTTCGGATACATTTTTGTATAAATAGCTGATATTTTTCCTATTCTACTTCTAGTTTTGAATCGCACTTGACAAAAAATGGTGACGTCAAAACCATGTTTACATACTCTGATCTACTCTGATACAAACACGGCAGTCGGCCAATCAGAACGCGCGTAGTATCCAAGTTATTTTATAATTTTATTTCTAAAATACTTAGGATACTACGCGCGCTGTGATTGGTCGAAAACCATGTTTGATTACAGTATCAAAACACGCTCGCGCGCGTCAAAAATTTCTTTTATTCTTTTAATTTTAGAAAAGAAATAAAAGACGAAATTCCGTGTTTGATACTCTGATCAAAACACTTGGGATGTAGGGAGAGCACTCGAAAAGCTGGAAACCACTCCGCTACGCGTCGTGGTTTCCTACGCTTCTCTCGTGCTCTCCCTACATCCCGCGTGTTTTGATCAGAGTATCAAACACGGAATTTCGTCTTTTATTCCTTAATTAATAACTGATTTCCACGAAGGTACCAAACAACATTCTTTTTTAAACGTAGATTTCTTCATCTTTGGAAAAAATAGAGTTCATTTGCAATTTAACAATGAAACATAAGGTAACAGTAACTGAGATAATAACTGCTGGATCTTTCTTTACAAAATATGTCGGAACTGTTACATATAAAATTACTTACATCCACATTATCAGAGTCCCTAGAGGTGACATCTTTCAATCTACTTCCTGCCAATTCATTGATCTAAAAAAACACAAATTACAGTCACGATTTGGATCAAACAAATTTAATATAGCTTTAAAGTGAGTGTTTAATGCACTTCAACCTTGAATTAAAATCATACAAGCATTAACATACATATTAATAAATTAGTACTCAATCAAATCAGTGTCTATTTCAGTAAGCGAGAAGGATGAATTTGGAATAAAACAAATGAATTTTTTATGTTATTTCACAGGAAGCAAAAGTTATTTCACCAATTTAATGTAGTTTCGCCAGTCGATAAGAATGAAGACGAGTCGCAATCAGGCGAGTCAGGTCATAGGTAATATAAAAATTAGGTAACACACAATAGCGACAAATCATTTACCAGCGCTATGAATACTATAATATTGACAAACTTACAATAATCCAAGAGGTTGCAGCTCAAAAGCGGTCTTATTTCAAAATCTCTTGCCTTGGACTGCATATAAACTGTTGCGTCATCAAAGTGGTCTAAGGCCCACACAATACGCCGAACTTCACATGTACCGAATACAATTCACGAATTAAATGCGAGATACGGGATGCGAGATGCGGCATATAAATTCCCGGGGAAGGGGGGGGGGGGGGGGATTTTGGATAGGACGTGCCGCCAGGGGTCTAAATCCCTGACCCTGTTTAAGACACTAGAAAGTAAAAATCCATACCCTGTTCAAGACAAATCGGAAAAATAAGGAATAGCTATCTACGCCGCAACCATCAAAACTGCAATTATACTGACATCCATCAAAGACATTAAGAAGTTTTTGATAACACGTTAATCCTGGGACAGTGAAACGGTATTTCTACTATTTCTACGGTATTTCTTATGAAAAGATTACCCTGTCCAAGACACACACAAAAAATATATATCGGTCTTTTATCTAAATTGTAGAGCCTGTTTAAGACAATTTCGGGCGAARTGTATACCCTGTTTAAGACAGCAAGGCCAAAAACCATACCCTGGCCAGCGGCACGTCCCTGTATAGCAAATATATGAGAGTATAAATATCCGTTTGCGAAAAAAAACTTAATTACTGATCAAAAGTACTTGGATAGCTCTAGGTTAGGATTAGGGTAAGGTTTGGGTTGGATTTAGCGATGAAATTAATGATTTAGTCTCGACTGACGGGTACGTATATTTGAAAACTCACGGGCATAAATACATCAATAATAAGCTTTTGTTRTTTGTATTGCCGATCGCCCGAAAATCTTCTGCAAATCATCGAGTACTTAAAAGGCGCCTTTTATATAAGTTAACTGTGCGGTAACCGTGCGGTAACGCTGTCTCACTCATACAAAATCCGCTCTAAATCTGTTGACATGTCTTAGATAAGTCCTTGGTGATTGTAGAGCCTGTACTAGCTTTTGATAAGCTAATGTTTGATAGATAATTCACAATCGGTAGATTCACGATAAGTTCGCCGTATCTCTCCAAATGCCCTTTTGAGAATCGCTCGAATTTTTTTAGTGTGGCTATGCCGCGAATGGTGTGTGGTTTTGTAAAATAATGTAGCGTATTTGTAGAAGCTAGATGACCTAGATCCGACATGTTCGATCTTAAAACTTTGCCGGCTATAAGAAGTTCCGAAGAAGCACGAGGCGACCTTTGAATCGTTGTTTAGAAACATTAATGACAGTAAGACAATAGATGTCAAAAAGGAAAAGGTCCCGGATTATTTGAAGCACACCACAGACGAAAAGTCGTCGGTAATTTTAGACATGGTCTTCCTTTGGAAACCCATGTAGAAAGATAAATGAGGAGCATTAACTGACCAAATAAAGAAAACAAACAACCTCGTTCCCAGGGCCTTATCCCTTCGCTTGGGGTCAGGCGGATAAGGCCCTGGGAACGAGGTTGGAAAAGCAAGAATCAAATAAGTAAATGGGTAAATAAAAAATACATAAATGGATAAAGCGAAAATGTGTGAGGAAACTCAAAGAAGGGAAGGGAAATGATATTGATGAAATGGAAGGTGACATGTATTTGGGCAGGGGAAAAATGATTGTTAATGAGCGGAAGTATGTGAGGGCGATAGTAAGAGGTGAGTGGAATAAATGAGTGGGAAAGAGATGGAGAACAATGTTGAAAAGGGAAGGATAATAATGAAYATGAAATTGAAAGTATGTATGGGAATGGACAGCCGGGGAGAAGAATAAAGAGACGAAAGGATGGAGAAACTGTATGCGCCTCACTTGGCAGCACACCTATTGTCTTAAGCTCTCGTTATTTCTCGATTATTTGCGTTATTTATCTGCTTCATGAATTCATTTTCTACATCAAGTAAGTTAACGTGTTACTCTACAACCAAGGATGAATTTCAGACGCCCAATCCTGTGTCTGTCGACACAGTATATTCAAGAATCCAACGTACGCCGTCTCTGCACTTGAATGGTCTTTTCCACGCGCCATTATTACCCTCAAGATTACTTAAAGCAAATGAATGACTCCACATCTTTCAACACAACACCGGCTAACACCGCGTTTATCTCATGAAACGTTCTCAAACATCAAAGAACTAGGATTGTCAAGAGCTAAACGTGGCTGCCGTGCTGGAATTAAGGTACAAATTCGTAAAAAATCAGTCTTAAACATACCATTTAGGCGCGGCATCAACAGAATAYCGTTTATCTGATARTTACGTCGATATTTTCCTCGTATCTAATTTCGTCAACATCGATAACAAACCTTAAAAAATCAAGCCGCCAATGGCAACACAACTCGAAGATTGATTGTGCAGACGAATACAGAAAGATATAATGATGAATCAAATTATAATTACTTAATGAATAGAATTTTAAATAAACGATTTATTAATATAGTTTTATAATTTAACTTCGGTTCTGGATAAACACAAGCGAGCGCCGGTGAGATGAATACCACTCGAGCTACAACTATGAGTAAATGAGAAGCGCTACATCTGGATCCGAATAACAAATAAAATCACCGCAAGWGTCAAAACACTAACAACTAAATCCCTAAGAAAACTTGGAGTTCAATCATTAAGCAAACAGTATTAATTTCAAGACGTAATATATACTACTTATTAACCGAGAGTGAGCTCATTACAGGGAAATCTCAGACCGAGGTCTTGGAAGTATGGACCGAGCGATAGCGAGGTCCATACAAACAAGGCCGAGGTCTGAGATTTCCCTGTAATGACCGAACGGACGAGGTTAATAAGTTATTTATTATATGGCTCTCTTAATAAAAAAAATATAAAATATATAACGTGAGCAAAATAAAAGAACGGAAGTGATTTAACACTTCCTCTTGCGCGCGCATTTGTTCATTCAATGTCATGTCCAGTGCCGAAAAAATACAACAATTTGTTTGAAAATGTGTTTAATATAGCACAATTTATGTCACAAAACCGTTTTTATTCCACAAAACACGGTAATTTAGCTTAAAAAGTTTCAGAACATCCAAAAGTTTGTAAAAATAGTTGGAAAATACGTCAAAATTAAGACGATTGAAAACGTCAACACGTGCAGACCTTGCAGTAATTTTAGCGAATGTTCAACTTTCCTCGTCACTCTCGATTTTTCCGTTGTTGGATCTTGACTGTACCTTTGAAAATTTTGAACGGACAGTCGGATATTTTGCTGATGTTAGCTCCACCGAAAATGCTACTTAAAGCACTTGGATTTGATGTATGAACGGCGAGGGAAGTGGTTGACTCAACTGGTTACTCATGAGGACGGCAAGCATAGTCTAATGACAGCTTAGAAAT